TTTAATCTCTCCTGCTGAAGACATTTTGGAGATGCTATCAGTTTTGTGCAGGCCCAGCTGTTAGAAAAATTGACTTAAACACACCACGAGGAAAAAATAATTTTATGAAAATAGCTAAGGATGGCTCCTGGGTGGCTTGTTATTGCACCTAGACCCCTAAACTAATTTAGAGCCAGCTGCTAGTTGATGATTTTTAGACCTGATAAACACTATATTTCTCATGTATCAGAACTAAAAGGGAGAAGCTGCTTACTTTAAGATTTTGTGCACTAGCTGTTTTGCTTCTGTACATTCACTTTTCAAGGTCTACTTTCATTAAGTAGGGTACAACCTCTGCTTAGATAATAAATCCTTCATAATCAAAAGGTGGAAAGGTTTCTTATATTAAGAAATTTTCAAAGGTTTTCTAATCCAGTAGCTTTAAAATGAAGTAGAACTGGGCAACTGGAACTGAGCAGTGGCTCAGCATCAGCATTTATTCTAATTGTCCAGAGGCTGAAGGGCATCATTTTTAATTTTCATTATCAGCGCTGGGTACAGTCATGCAGACCTCTACAGACATGCCATAAGACAAACATCTTCTACAGAAAAAGAAAAATTATTTAGACTTAATTCATTTTGTGCCTCTTTTTACTTGTCATGGGAGGACTTCTCATTCAGCAAGAATCTTTGGGTGCCTATACACATGATACGACGCATTCTAATTAGAACATGTCACAGCAGACTCATTTGTAATTAGAATGCTCCAGAGTGCCTCACCATCATGTGTATTAAGTATCCCGCATTTCAAAATGGCTTCAGGAGTGCTTTAACTAAAACTCATCTAATGAGATTTAACTAAAGTGCCCCGTGGCCATTTTGAAATGCGGAACACTTAATACACACGACACTGTGGCATTTTAATTAAAGCGGCTGTCTAGGAGCTGCTCTAATTAACGCCCTTATCCCTTACCCTGGAGCACATGTACAGACACCCTTTAATTCTATACCCAAACAGGCATAGAGTAATATATAATTCCACAAAAACAAATTCTGAGCCTCCAAATGGTATTAGCCAGATGTTCCGATCAAATGCAGTCTCTACTTTATTGTAACTATATAGAACTGTATTTCCAAAAAGTCTAGCATATTTAGCTCTTGCATGCTATTACCATGGCTTGCATGCAAAACTCTAAAATACTGATTTTTCTTCTTAGCAGTTCTAGACCTATGAATGCAAGAAGCACCTTAAATGTTCAAGACTTAAAGAGATCAAAATACAACATGTGAGAGGACAGAAAGTAAGATATTCTGGTCTCAGGTACAAGCAATGAATGAAGATGATGCTCAAAGTCCTCCTTTTCATTTCACTGGGTATTTTTGCCAGCTCATGAGTCCCATTTTGACCTGGCAGATTTCTACTTTTCCTTTTTGGTTTCTTTTACTAGTCAAAATATCTGGAGGAAGAATGTGGTTGTTACAAAGATTAAAAGCCGTTTTTAATTTTCAAAGAGTCAAAACTGACTTAGAGCAATAAAAACTTTGCTAAAGCAAGTATGAGTTTCAAAGCAATTAATACAAATTGTGAAAAACAGAAAACTGCAGACTCCTTAACTTCAAAAGGATGAATTAGTTTGAAAATGTCTAGGACTTTCAGGAAAGCATTCTATTTATCTCAACACTTTTGGAATATTAAGGTTAAGGCCATTCTGGTATTCTTTTCTGGCAGAATACTTCTGTGAATAACAGAAAGCAGTATGGTGGCACCAACTAAAATATCTATTTTACATAGTCAATGGTAGAAAAAGCTTGGCAAAGGAAACCAAGCAGGAACAAATTAATTTAGCTTCATTTTAGTGAATAATGGATTTACACTTATATAGCTTCCATTCATTACATGGGAAACCCCTTCTCATAGCAAGCTGAGCATATATACCCTGAAGACAGTCATCAGAAAAGATAAATATGGTGAAAAAAAATAACATGTTCCAAAGTATTGTAGCACTTCATATTCTTAAAATATATAAAGCTGGGGGGGGAGATTAAATGGGAGGGGGAAAGCTACTGTAAAGTGAATCCAAACATACTTAAAAAAAAAGGGTAATGAAAGGATAGGTTAAACTTTGAAAATAACCCAAATTAAAACTATAAATATCTAAATGAAATGCTTGACTATAGTGTAAACTAATTAAATAACTAATTAAATATGATCGATACAGCAAAGATAAGATTTGCCCCCTCAACCTCTCCATTCCTTACTTATTTGTTTTCTCCTGTCCTGAAGTTGAATCAATCTCACAGTTGTCTTCTACTGGATATCTAAGTGTTCCCTCGCTTAATATGTTTAAAACTGAATTTCTTGAATCCAATTCCTGTGCGCATTTCAGCCACTCAGCATCAGCCTGAATATGAAAAGTAGCTACCACCATGATTTATGCAGCTCTGTGAGGATTCTTTCTGCAGAACAAGAATCTCCCAACGCTGTCAGTACTCTATTAACTCCCATATCACCACCCCATTACATCCTAACATAAAGGGCAAGGTTGCAAAAGAGGTATCCTTTTTTGTGCCTCAGAGATACCACAGGGTTTGGGCTGTTCCCTGCAAGCACTAAGCTAGTAAAATAAGATACAGAAACCAGCTTCAGGATGTTCTATTTTGTTCCTGAGACTAAAACCACATACAGACATTCAGTTTCACCTGGGAGACTCATGGCTCAGTTATCAATGTGTACAGATGTTTGGGGGGGGGTCTCCCAAAGCCAAAATGGACACTCTAGGAGAAAACTAACCCAGGAACAACCAGGGTTAAAATCACTCTTGGGAGAGTTTCTCTCGAAAGAGAGAATGTCCATACAACGTATGAGTCTGAGAGAAACTGCAGCACAGTCCTCCAGCATCCCAGGGTGCTTTGCTCTCACCCTCTTTTCCACCCTTGGGGAAAAGAGTGTTACTTTGGCTGGACTCTTCTTCTTCTTCAGCCAAGCATGGAACACAACATCGCCCTCTACACTGCCCTCCTTGTGATGCAGGAAGACATAGCCTGCAAGGCAGTCTGGGTCAGCCAATCAGGGCTGCCCTGTGCACTGCTGCCATCTGTTACCAGGTAGACTGAAGGAGCCTACAGAGCATGCTGATATGTGTGTACAGCCCTCCCCTGGCTGTGCAGCATCAGCAGTGCAAGTTCTCCCAGCTCTCTGCTTTTCAGGGACTCTGTTTAGGCATCTCCAGGCAAGTTTTTCTACTAGGAGAGCAAACCCTGGAGAATTCTCCCAGGTCACCTGAACATGTGTACGCAGCTTGAAACAGCACTTAATAGCCACAGGACTGAATTGCTGCAACAATGTTAAAATCCCCGCTCCTACTTCCTTTGCCTGAACTTATTCCAAAACAGCTGGGCCAGTCTGGAAAAATCCAAGTCCTTTATTCTTAAACCCTTTTCAGTTCTCTTATATTTTTTGACTCCACTCTCTGTTTTGCCTCAGCCACTCTTCTCCCATTAAAATCTCTTCATTTCTTTGATACCATTTCCACTCTCCCAAAGCTCTCATCCACTATGATCATATCCTGTCTTATCTTTTCCAGCCGCCTCCTCTCCAGGCCTCAAATACACCTACTGTTCTAACCATATTAACCCTTTCCCTCCACTGACTCTCCTTCTTTACAATATCAAATTCAAATCCTTGTTCTCACCTCTTTAATGTTCTTCACAATACTACTCTGTCACAGCAGCTTACTGAGATTGTTTAGAAATATCTCAAGACTTGATTGCCTGAACATCTACTTTCCCTACCAGCATTCTTTGCACATCCTTCTATGCCATGAACATAACAGCCTTGCTAAAATAGCTGATGAGACACAACCTTGCTCTCTTTCAAGATGTTTGTCTAGATTTACTTCTACCCTGATGTCTACAGGAAAAACAACTAAGGTAGATAGCCAATGAGTATTTCTACAATTTAATGCATCTCCTTATAATTAAAAATCAGCTTTAAATTATTCACAGCCATTAAACTGATATAGACATCTGGTCCATTTAAACAGATATAGACATCTGGTCCATTGTTTTAACTGTTGCACCTTACTCTTTCCCTCATTTTTTTTTCTTTGTTAACTCCTCTTGCTGTGTCTTGTCTCACGTGGTTTTGGGCTCTTTAGAACGGCACCACTATATGCTTGGATATCATCAAGCACAATGTGGCCTATAGACTCTACAACAGCAATAATGGTAAGCAAATATGTTAAGACCTCAAAGGATTTAATTTACTTTAAAATGAAAATATATTAACAAATCTGACAGAAAAATTCACATGCTGTTTTAAATCTACTATTGAACAGATCCTCTGTATCATTGGAACAGTATATCCAAATATTTGTATAATGAAGCACAGATGTAAAGGGAACAAGCTGGGACTGCCAGTGTAACAATATGTTCATCGCTATATTCTTGTAAGTAAAACAAATGTAATATTTATAAACTCATGGTATGTTTCCATTACCAGCTCTAAATGGTGCTCTGTGTTTGAAATAGGTTTATGAGGCTACAACTTATTAAGTACATAGATGTGTTGACAAGAACTATGCATCATATTTTTATACATTATTTAATTTTGAATACATTTTATGTGAAAATCTAGGCCCTAACTGATCACGAACCCACCTTCCCCCTCTACTGCAGGAGCCCATGCAAGATCTTTACGTTGCTGTTGAAACTGGAAAGTTTGCATAGGGAAACCAGACAGCAGAGAAAAATCACTGTGAAATGCGTTTCCATCCATAAGAGAAATTGCATATTTGAACGTTCCATAAGGCAGGTAATAATGGCTATTGTAACTTAAATGCTTCTCAGACATCATTTGGTCATATTTGGTATTGTTCTCCTGCAGACACTTACTACAACATGCAGGGTAAATGCAGCTAATAAGCAGAATTAGCTAAGACACTGTTTAATTTAGTTGTGCGCTAAAGACTAATTGCCTACTCAGCGAAGGGGAAGTGTAACATTTTTTTTAAGATGCTTACCCGAGGGCCCTGATCACCTTGATCTCCCTGCAAAGTGGAAAGATGAGATGATAGTTTTAACACAGCATCTGTGTTCTACCCAACTCTCTTACACAATTTCACATTATATTGCGAAAAAATAAACTGCATCTTTTGTTAAAACCAGGAGGAGTTTCCATTATTTTGTATATGTTCGCAGAACATTTACTCACCTTCTCCCCTTTTGGACCAGGAGGACCCTGAGAAAAAGAAAAAAAATCAGAAAATTATTGGCATAAAGGAAGTTCAACAATCAGTTTTAGAGATATAACAAGCAGGTATAAATGATACCAAACTCTCTCCCTCACAACATGATTTCTCCCAGGCTTTTGGTCCTTAAACTGCCAGTATTTTGGGGCCAGGTTTAGCAAAGGTATAGCAGCAGTTACCACGAGGTTACTTTTGCAACTAGTTCCATCAGGCACAAGGTATTCAACTGGGCTATTCACAGACATATAAACTATGGATGAAATCCTAGCCCTACTGAAGTCAATGCAAAACATCTGGGGGGGGAGGGGAGGCTTTTTTCATGGAAAAGCGCCTGGTGCTGCAACGCATATGGTTGTATAAGCGGCGAAATGCATGTCAGCACAAAGAAAATTGCGGTGGTACATGTTTGAACTAACACACCTCAGAGGTGCTTTAGTTCAAAAGCGCACCACCACCATTTTCTGCATGCTGACACGCATTTTGCCACTTATACAACTGCATGCAGCGCAGCGTAGTGTATGTCAGCTCAATTGAGTCTGCTCCAAAGCAGCAGACCTCTGGTGCATTGTGGGACAGAAATGTATGTGTATAAATGTCCAAGTGACATAAAAGAAGGCTGGATTTTATCCTGTATCTGGTAATGATTTTTTTTTCTAGGTCTTTTTCTAATTCTTAGCATTCATGCTTAATAAATTCAGAATTTTAGAGAATAATACATGAAAAATAAGACAGCAACTGTGGAAGAGTATGTTTTGATTTAGATCTCTGGCAACAGAGAATTCACATTCAGTCTTGTGGCATACTATCAAGATAGAGTTATTTATGTGATAGAATTATTTACAAGAATTTAGCCTGATATGATTTTTCAGAATGAATAATTATGTTTAAAACACCTGAAAAACAAACTGTTTATGGTGGGAATGCAGGTTCTTTCCTTAGTCTCTTCTTGCTGAACAAGTTCCCAGCTTGTTTGTTCTGCAGCACTTCAGAAACAATTTTCTAGACTACTACCTCTCAAGCTGTGCTTTGTGGATCAGTTTCTACCAGATTACATGGTGCTGACTCTGCTTCCAGTTTTTTCTATGGAGTGCCAAATGTTTCAGTGGAAATAAGTGTTTGGGCACCATTAAAAGCAGCTGGAAACAAAGAGGACTCGCCCCTTTCCCCTGCTGCTAGAGCTCATTGCCACAGTCAGAGAAAGAGAAGAAACAAGAGCCGATACCAGAGGCGGTGTTACCAACAGCATAGTTAAAAATAACACAGAATAGTCCTAATGTCACTTTTCCATGTACACAAGGATATACTGCCTGACTGAAAGTGAGACTGGAGATGGTTTGCATGAATACAAATGGGAGGGGAGAAGGTCTAAGAGACACTGGCTATTAAGATGCAGTCTACAATGCAAAAACCTTTGAGAGCTCCTGTTGTATCCAATTTCCTGCTTAGTTTTAAGAGCTCCCCAGCATTCCAGGAGAGTGAGTCTGCTGGCAAGCCTATCAGGGAAAAATAGTACGTTTCCTTCCACAGCTGACCAGCACTGTTGGTTGGTTCAGGAAGCAGCAACATGGCCTTGGGCCATGTACAAATGTTCATTTTCTACTGGGAGAATTGCTGCCCTCCTAGTAGAAGCCACAAGTGCACAGATGTTCCAGCTTTTTCTTCTGGAGCAAAAGTGTCCATTCTAGGAGAAAAATAACTCAGCTAAAACTAGGTAGAAACTCCCAGGAGTTTCGCCTGGGAGAATTAACTTCTGTTCTATACACCTTCCTATGTCTTAACTCCTCCCAGGGACCAGGAGGAATGGAACCATGGGGAAGGCTCCCATGCCTTCCAGAGACTGAGAACACCCCAGAATGGAGAAAGCAAGGGGAGCAACTGCTCCTGCCCTTCCTGTAGACTGGGAGGGGAGGAGCAAACACGAGCTCCATACCTGTTTCCTACTCCAGAGTCCCTGGATTGAGAGGCAGGGAAGGGGCTGTGCCTCACTGCTCCCCCGTCTCAGCTCCCAGAAACTGGGAACCCAGTGCAGGGAGTAAGCATAGCCCCCTGCCAGCTTCTCACTCTGGAGTTGCAGAAGTAAGCAGCAGCAGGAGGCTTTGCCACACTGCTCCATCTGCTCAGCTCCTGGGTGCCACAAGCCCTCTGCCTGCTTCTGATACTGGAATCCCCAGTGGGGAGAAGACTTTTCCCTGCTGTTCCAGTCCCCCTGGGAATGGGAACAGGAAGGCTAGGGCACTCCCACCTTCCCCAGATCAAGATCTCACCAATCTGGGGAAGGCACAAGGAGCAGGGGAGAGGAGGCACTAGCAGACTGAAGGAGCAGACAGAAGGGATACGCCCCGCTGTAACTCACAGCACATCAGAGGAAGCAGTGTGAGTTACACTGATCCCTCAGACACAACAGATGTTCACTGTTGGATCACGGGGTTTGGTGGATGCAGCTGCAGTTTGAAACAGCTGCATGTCTGCAGCTACTCTCCTCTAGCCCTGCTCCTCCCCCACCCCCAGTGGTGATGTGTAGGGGGTACACGTGCACCCCCTGAGAGCACTGATGCACCTCCTAACAGCCATCATTCCCTGCTTAGGTGACGAGCGGGGGGGGGCAGACAGGAGTGCTGGTGCCCCTGCCTCCCCCCACCCCGAGAGCACCAACTGGGGATTGAGAGTGCCAGGAGAAGCACCCTGGCACTTGCAGGTCAGGAAAATCAGCTGCGGGGGGACCCCCCCCACACCTGTCAGTGAGATTGGCTCCCAATGTAGGTGCACATGCAGATTCATGCCTTAATGCTCCTGCATTTTCTGCACAGAAAATTCAAGCACATTAATTGCATGTGTAGACACACCCACATTATATTATACTATCTGTGCCGGTGAGATTCCCTGAAAACCAAAGGTCTTCTCCTTAAGAAAGGGCAGAGGATTTCCCTGTCCCAAACCTATCTTGCGGTTCCCTTTGGAGGGGGTAGAATACTTCTGGTTTAGTCAGTACAAATGTGCTGAATCAAGGATGCTACAGTACGAGCATTTTCCAGCCACTGCCAGCGGCAAGCAGTTAACTCATTCTGACATAGCTAAAGTTACAAGTCCTTTACACTACTGGAATCTTGTCCCTAGCAGACCTTCTGCTAGACCATTCTGGTAGCATGAATGAGTGATGCCCGTGGTTTTTAATAGAGCTGACTGAACTACTTGTTATGAATAACTTATTCAGTTAATTTTTTCCACTTTTCTCTTTGCAGATGATCTATAAACAGGTCAGAATATTTGTGCATTGGTTATTTTTTCACAGATGCCTGTGTAAGACTGAACTAATAGCTATGAGTATCTGCATTTGCCCCACAAGATGGATCCCCTAAGTCACATGGCATTATTCTTTTCCTGATTGGTAGGTTCTGTGGGAGGCTTTGGACAGAGCTTCGGATCCAGATAAGCTTCAGATGCTTTGGGGTCCGAAGCAGCACATCCAGGTCAAAGTGCTGGCCTCATTTGGCTTCCCGAAGAGCTTCGGAGCCACCTTGGAGATCCGGCCATAGGGTATAATGGGGAAACAATAAAATACTTATGACTCTGTTGTTTTTTGTCCAATTTGGATGAACCTTTCAGGAGTGGTAGTCTCTGCAGAGAGGATGAAGCCTGCCAAGTTTCAAGAACAGCAGCACAGGGGCTTGGGGGGAACAGCACCCCAAATTCTTGAAAGCAAAACTCATGTCACGTCTAGGCATTACAACATAGCAGGGTGAAAACTGCAGGAATGATAGCCTATGCTGAGGAAGCCTGCCAAGTTTCAAGAAGATCAGTGCAGGGGTTTGGGGGGAACTGCCCCTCAAGCTGCGGACAAGCAGAACTGGTGCCATGGGTGCTTGTGGGACTGACTGTGGCTGTCTTGGGGCGGGGAGGGGAGACTGCTGCAGGCCTGGCTGTGATGCTGCTGTGTTCCCAGTTACCAATCAATCAATCATGATTTGCTCAGGGACCAAGGGCTCAGGGACCAGCTCAACACACAGGACCTAGCTACTACATGATGACTCAATGAGCAGCAATTAGCACCTACAAAACCAGGCGGAAGAGAGGAAAGAATCAATACAGACAATCAACTGACCTAAGACAGAGACAGTCTTGGCACAAGTTTTGCCTGTCAGTAGCTAGGGCTGCAGGGCTCCAGAACCCCCCCCTGCACCCATTGCCTCCACAGCTGGCAGGCGTTGTGGCCTCAGCAGGGGCCACCATCCCTGCAGCTGTCACCCTGCTGCACCTTAACACACACAGTGTCACCCATGGCACCAGTTTTACTTGTCCGCAGCTTGAGGTGCAGCTCCCCCCAAACCCCTGCACCTATCTCCTTGAAACCTGGCAGGCTTTGTGGCCTCAGTAAGAGCTACCAGCCCTGCAGTTTTGACCCCCCTGTGGTGTAACACACAGCCGTGACAGGAGTTTGGCTTTCAAGAATTTGGGGTACAGTTGCCCCCAAACTCCTGCACTGACCTTTTTGAAACTTGGCAGGTTTCATGCTCTCAGCAGAGGCTACCACCCCCGCAAGTTTCATCCAACCTGGACATAAAACAATAAAGTTATAGATATTTCATTGATTCCTCCATTATACCCTATGGCCGGATCTCCAAGGCGGCTCCGAAACTTCGGAGCCGCTTCTGCGGAATCGAGGTGGAAACCCGGTTCAGAGCTCTGGATTGGACTGCGGTCATCCGAAGCGGCCAGATCCAAAGCCGAATCGGATCACCGCCAACTCGCACAGGCCTATTGATTGGAAGTTTTATAAATAACAGGGGTCCTCCTGGCTGCTTACAACTCATTCACAAGCATTCACAAGCGTTGAACAAATTGACTGCACGAGTATTTAAAAACAGCTTTTCAAAATGGTCTCAGAGCATTTCTGGTGTGAATACCTGCATAAATATTTCTCATTTGTATTCATAGTGCTTATGCTTTGCCCCAGCATTCTTGAACATAACAAACAATAGCTCTCCAGATTACC